GAGAGAGAGAGAGAGAGAGAGATCCTCTTCCCTTGCAGACATGGGACCCTCTAGCCCCTCCACCCCCGAGAATTTCCCCATTAATCTAGAGAGCTGCCACAACCACCCTCCCCACCGCCTGCTGTGACGTCTCAAAGGATCCAAAGTGTCCCATTTGGGGTTGCGCAAACACGGTGTCGGACATGCTGACGACACTCCAAAGTGTGCCTGTGGAGCACAGAGTTAGGGCACCCCAATGCCACTTTTCACGGCCCTCTGTCTATCCTACGGCCTCCCGTGACCTGTAATTTCACGAGATATTTCATTGTTCTTTGCTGGAAGCTCAGAAAACGACCCCCTGAGTCACCAGTCTCAGCTTCTGGTCCTCTAGAGCAGTGGTTCTTAACGTGGGCAATAATGCCCCCCAGGGGGCGATTTCATTTTTCAGGGGGGCGGCAGAACAAAAAGGGGCGGTGTGGGGGCGAAAGAACAGAAGGGAGCGGTAGGGGGGCGCTGGAGCGAGCCAAACCTGTGAAGGCGACTGCAGCCGCAGTGCTGGCAGTAGATCCGGTGCTGCTGCGGCCGCCAGATGATCCAGCTCTTTCTACCTGCCACGTCTCGCCTTTCTCCTTTAGGGGAGCACTGAGTGTGGATCAGGTGGGAGGAAAGGGTCTCCTGGGTCCTCATCCTCGCCCCGTGAAGCGCTGCCTCGCACCCGGGTGGGGAGGGAGACTAGGTAGGTAGGTAGGTAGGTAGGTAGGTAAGATATCACCTCAGGGAGGGGGGCGATGATAACTTCCTCAATGGCTCAAGGGGGAGTTTCTTTCGAAAAGGTTAAGAACCACTGCTCTAGAGCAGCCCTTCTCAAAAGCCCCCCCCCCGAGGGTCCCGGGCCGATTGGAAGGGGGCCACAGACTAGAAAGAAAATTCTTCACACACACACACACCCAAGCTAATAAGGTTTGTTCTGCAACCTGCACAATCCTGACTTGGCTTCCATTTCTTTTAGGGCCATGGCAAAAAAAACCAAAAAATTAGAACGGTGCTTTAGAGCTTCGGAAGAGAATCTTTCCCACCCTTCCCTGGAAGAGCCCCGGGAACTTCGCCGTCCAGAGCAGATCCTCTCCTTTTCAAGTGTGATCCTTCCCCATCCAGATTCTAACCAAGCTTGCCGTAACTTTCCAGACCAACAGAGTTTTTTTTGCCAAATCAACTGTGAAAAGCAGACTCAGAGCAGGACTGAGTGGCTTTGTTGCCTTTGGGTTTTTTCAGATGCCAGCAGCGGAACCGATTCCCTAGAGATGCCAAAGCTCAATTTGCTTGCTTCCACAGTTGGGTCATGAGATGACAACCAGCTATGACAGCGTTCCATGCAGTTGGGTCATGAGATGACAACCAGCTATGACAGCTACAACAGCGTTCCGTGCATAGTTGCGCTGGCCACGTGACCACGGAAATGGTCTTTGGACAAACGCTGGCTGTATGGCTTGGAAACAAGAATGAGAACCGCGCCCTAGAATTGGACACGACTGGTCAAATTGTCAAGGGGAACCTTTACCTATTACAGCTCATCTTTGAAAACAACGTCCCCCCCCAACAAGGCAACCCCACAATTCAAAGGTGGGAGGACCATTCAAAGTCAGGTCCACCAATAATTAACTGCCCTAAAAGCCTTCGATAGGATCGTTCTGTTCCACGGCACCCGTTCCTTACCTTTCAGGAGTGGAAGTGACGCGGCAGCGCTTGGCATGTTTCAGATCCGCTTCGTGAGGGTGCGCGCCCGGCATTTTCTGGGGAAATGACAGAGACGGTTGAAGGGAGATGCGTTTCCTCCTCAGAGCACTCTGGAAGAATCTTCTGAGCACCCAGTCGCCTAAAGGTAGAAGAACAGGTCGTGACCATGTTGGACCGCAGTTCCCAGAACCACCCAGGCGACAGACAGGGCTTCGGGTTGATCCTGGGAGCGGCGGTCCGAAAGAAAGAAAAATGTGACGCTTCTAAGTGCGCCATCAGAGCATGCTATGTTTTTTTTCTGTGCCATGGGTTGGCAATAGAAGTTGTGAGTGTCTGTTTGACAACAATGACTGAGCCTCCCCATCTTAGGAAGTCTTTAGCAAGTGGAATTCACCGGCGTTAAAGGGAATTCATCAGGATGGCATAAAAAGCAGATTTGCCTTTGCAAAAGGGGGACGTAGCCCACGCACGACCCAAGAAGCACAAGCCCCTTTATTAGGAAGCACCCAATATGGGAGAAGAGGCAAATCCTGACCACAGTGGGGAGCTTACCGCCAGAGCTTAGAAAGCTACTTTCAAAAATGAATATTCCTCTGAATCATTCTAGAACTTGAAAAATAATTCATTGGCCTTCGCTTGTTGCAATGTTAGGGAATAACACTATCGGTGAAGTTGCCCGGTGGCGTTCTTTATTGTCATTTTTTTCTTTAAGAAACAACTGTGGGTTTTTCAGAGAATGTCATAAACCATAAATCGATTCCTGTGGAAATGCCTCTAAACCTCTCCTTTAAAAAGCTACTTGAGAACGCTTTGCGTCCATGAAGCAACGTAGCTCCCCCACCACCGCCTTAAAACATGACTTTTCCAATGTCACATCCCTACCTCCCTGTTATCCAAAAGCGGTACTTCCTTATGGCCACAACGCTAGTTTTTTTTAATATTTTATTATTTTTTATAACATACATACCTACAAAACAATAACACATAAAACTAACAAAACATACAAGGCGAACAGAGCATACAGGCAGGGAGGTATTTCCCATGCCAGCTTATCTATTATGTAAATTCTGACTACAGATATAATATATCCATGTGCATCTACACATGTTATATTCCACATCCCTATTTTGTGTATCTAATTAAGTATCTAACATCCTAAGTTTATAATAAATTTTGTAAATTCTCTCATCTGCATTTCCATCCATCTAACTCTCATCATAAACATTCCTCATTTCCTCTTTAAAATTACTTATCCACCATAATATCCACACAGGCCCATTCATTCCTCAATGATCTCCATTCTTATAAACAGAAAACTATATGTCTAATCTTGTCAACATAATCACTCTTGCAGTTCACACAGACAACGCTGTTTTTAAACTCATCGCTATGCTTACTGGACTGCAAGATCTGTGAGAAACGGCATGCAGAGGTTAAAAAAAAAAAGAGCCCAGGGCGCACCCACCTGCCACCGTGAACACCAAGAGGCTGGTGAGAGAATGAAACCCCCAGGAAAGGCCTTGGTTGAGCTCAAAGAGGGCGTTCGCCACGACCAGGATGAGCAGCACGGCACGTGGGAGGCCGGGGATCTGCAGGAACGTCATGATGAGGGCCGCCAGGAGGAAGTAACTGCCGTGCAGAACGCAGGTGTAGATGGAACTGAGGCTGAACCCTGCGGGACGGAAGCGGATCAGTCCATGAGTTCGCTTTTCATGACAGCGTTGCCCTCCGAGCGTCCTCACAAAGCCCGTCTCAGGGCAGCCTCGGCTGCTTGCTCCTCGGGGCAAGGCTCCGACCTGCCTGGCAAGATCCGGGGAGGTCAAGAACCAGGAGACGGCCAGGAACAAGCAAGGAATCAAAGCCGGAAGCGTTCTCCTCCTTCCCTAACTCTGTGCGAAGTAACACTCGCCAAGGCTGGCCCCCCATCTTTGCTGTCCTTCCCCAACCAAGCAAAGGCCAACCAACCAGGCTCAAAACCTGGGGTGGACAGAGCACAGCCTCTCCTCCTCCACCACCGGCAGCTGTTGGTCTATGCTGGGGAGAACTGGAGAGAATGGGAAGCCATTGGCAGAGTTCCTCTCGGCTCGACCCTCACATAAAGTGGGCTACACCAAGGAAGACCTCTGCCTGGTCTCCATAGGGGCATGCAGCACAAATATGGGAATGAATTACTTTTCACACATTATTTAAAACTCACTCCCCAATTTTCTAGTCCTCATGCCAGGGGTGGTGCTGATGAACACCTTTCGCTTTTCCAACTGCCCTTCCAACAGTCTGTTATCCTTTGATTTTGTTAGTGGCCCATACAACACATGATAAAGCCCCCCCCCCCAAAAAAGGCAATTGGGTTTACTTATTTAAAATATTTTTGCCCCACCTTTCTCCTTAAAAGGACCCAAGGGGCATTGCATCATTAAAAGACAGTATTTAAACCTAACAACGAGGACACAGATACTAAAAAGCATAAAAATAAATATGTACCATATTAGAAAACCCTTTGAATATGTTTTTGGCAATACTGAAAACACACTCAAAGCAGTAAGGCTCAACCATCCATTAAAAACATCCCACTCAGGTAAGCTGGAGAAGCTTACCTGAAGAGAAAGGCCTTTGCCTGCTTGTGGAAGGACAGCAAAGATGGGGCCAGGCTGGCCTCCAGTGGGAGGGAGTTCCAGAGTCTCAATTTAAGGGCTTTATAGCTTAGAACCAACACTCTGAATCCTGCCTAGAAGTGGATCAGCAGCTCATCAAGCTATTGAAACGCATTCATTAACACCAGGCAAGCAAGGGCTTTGCGATATTAAAATAAAAGATTCAAAACAATGCTAAAAACATTTTTTTTAGACTTTGAAAAGCACTGAATATTTCTTGGCAAGAATGCAGCTGAAGGTTTAAAGAGACGTTAAGTGCAGTGACATAACCTGAAGCTGTGGATAGCCACCAATTAATAAGTCCCCAGTTGGCACATGTCTGGAAATTCAGCCGAGGACTCATTCATTAGCAGCTATTTGTGCTCCAAGTGACGCCATTCTACATACACTGGTGTAAATATTCCACTGGATTATATCTATCATAATTGCATCTCTAGGGAGAGAAAAAAAATAGGTTTTACAGTTTTTAGCACTTAAACAAAACAGCAGATAGGAAAACAGAGGGAAGTACGTTCATCTAAATCTCATTAGCCAACGCATCCTGGCTCCCTGGCTTCTAGTCTACACCTTTTGCCCCGTCCACCTTGGGTCTAGATGAGCGGGATAGAAATCTAATTAATCAGATTAATAAATTAATTCTCTGCTGCACCTTTTCCTTCCTTTCCTACGTTGCCACACTATTACCCACTTCATTTCCACAAATGATCCCAACTCATTCCCCCATCACCAGCCAATCACAGGGATATCCAGAGTTCTGCTAAGTTTCCGGTTCTCATGATAATAATGTTATCCCTCCCTCGGATTGTGCTTCTCTTTCCCGGATGAAGCTTCCCTGGCCAAAAGCCTCTAAAACTTTTCCAGGGAGGAGCCCACAAACGCATTTGTCTCTTCCAGCGACAGCAGCCAAGGTTAGGGCGCCCTCTGCGAAAGAGTAACAGGTTTTGTGGGGAAATAGGTTTTTAGGGACCTTGGCCCCTCTTGGACCGTCCTGGCGCAGTGGCCGGCCGCCGAAGGGGTGAGCCGTGTGAGCAGAAGAGAGAGACTCTTGAATCCCCCAGGAGGAAATCACAGCCGGTGCAGAAATCACCCTTCCAGGCTGCCTCCACTCCATCTACAATTAAGGGAGCGTGTCCCAACCGCAGATTCTTCCACATCACTGTCGTTGTTGGGTGCCGTCAAGTGGCCGCTCCCAACGGAAGGCGAGCCTAGGAATCAGCCGTCTCCAGAATGCTCAGCTCTTGTAGACTCAACCCTGTGGCTTCTTCTTTGAGAGAGTCCGTCCATCTCAGATTGGGGTCTTCCTCTTTTCCTGCTGCCTCCATCCTTTCCCCACCTGATGGTCTTTTTCCAGAGAATCCTGCCTTCTTGCGAGGTGTCCTAGGAGCAGGACAGCCTCAGTTTCAACCTTTTTTTTTTTGTTTTGCCTGCAGAGATCATCCAGGCTTGATTTGATCCGGGACCCGCTTTGTTTTGTCTTTCTGGCCCTCCGGGGTCTCCCCAAAGCTCTCTTCCAGGCCCATTATTTCCAACACATCAACTGCTTTTCCCGTCTGTGCCACTAGGCAGCGATGTGGCTGCCCTACACCTGGCGAGGTTGGAAAGAGGAGAGGCAGTGATGTCAGCGGGGATGCCCCCCAGTGACTCACAGGTACCAGCCAATCAGGAGGGCAGAAAGATTTTAAACATCCTGCAGGGATTCTTTTTTGTTTTCCTCCTGAATCTTCTTCTCTCCAGCCGGCCATGAAGCAAAGCAGATGCCAGGGACCAGGGGAGGCAAGGAAGAACCAGATTCTGTGCCTACAATCAGGGCTGGAATAAACAAGTTGCGCCAGGGATTATGATGACTCTTGTCAGCTCTGCTGATTATCCAAGCGCTGCCTACCTGTACGTTTTTCTCTCTCTCTCTGCTTTTTCTACCTGGCAGCAACTTTGGCCTAAACGTGGGCCAAAGCAGATGCCAGGGACCAGGGGAGGCAAGGAAGAACCAGATTCTGTGCCTACAATCAGGGCTGGAATAAACAAGTTGCGCCAGGGATTATGATGACTCTTGTCAGCTCTGCTGATTATCCAAGCGCTGCCTACCTGTACGTTTTTCTCTCTCTCTCTGCTTTTTCTACCTGGCAGCAACTTTGGCCTAAACGTGGGCCACTCTTTCCTTTTGCAATGTAATAAAATTTAGTTCCTTCTTAGAAATAATTCAGCCTGTCCTCTATCTGTTGCCTTTTGCTGGGTTCAGGTACCAGAGAGTTTCCCAGTTACTTGAAAACCCCCACCCCACCCCGGTGAGCTGGGTACTCATTTTACAGACCTCGGAAGGGTGAAATGCTGTGTCAACCCTTGAGCCGGCAAACTCTGGGTCTTGAACAGAATTTCGGCTGCATTACTGCAGTCCAAGCACAGCGCCAAGCATCTCAGGGAAGCCCTCTGGGAAGCAAAGCACAGGGGCTGAATACAAATGCAGGATAGGTGATCCCTTCGATCGACCGTTAAGAAGAATACAGTAATTTTACAATAGCAAGTATTTGATGATAAATCATCTTTTTTAAAGCTGGGCATCAAGTTCTGGTGGGTCATTCCAAACTTATGTGCTGTTT